AATCTTGCGTAGAATATGGGTATCAGACGAAGGCCCTTCGGTGCTTTGTATTACATGAGGTCGCCTTTGCGTTCGTATATGGTCACGAGGAAGGTACAAAACCAACAAGTTATGAGTTGTAAGTCAGAACGTTGTTTTATTAAGGTTTCTCTATGGTACGCTCTTTTCAAACGAGACTATGCAGACTTTTAGGTTTCCACCTGGTGAGAACTTTGCCACATATCCGGAACGAACTGTGGATGAGCTCACAGTTTATGTAGATGAGGAGTCACCTCTGCGTTTTATTCCACCTTTGCCGCCTTTTACTGATGTCCCAAGGTACAATGTGTTCGCGCGTTGTGTTATAAAAAGTCTTTTTTCTTCAGGGGTTGGTTCATGCTACACGATCTCCTGATAGCTTTGCCTCTATCAGTATTTGTGCTCACCGCATATGTGAACAAAAATGTTGATGTTCGTGGTAACACATTCCCAAAATCATATAATTACGCAATTTTCAAACTAGATTATGTCGATATTGGTCCTAAACCTTAGGACATCTGCAGGTGCCTGTGATCTGCGAGTTTTGAGCAATGGGGCACTTGACAGTTAATTTCTTATCTCTGATCAGCTATTAAGTGTGCTCCAGTGCTCACAAACTGTGTTGAAACACACATCTAGAGGCATTGTGGTGAATCTTATAGTGAGTGGGAGACGGGCGTGGTGCAAATTTTCTCGGCTTTTCACTTTCTCTACATGTTGATAACACAAGAAAGGATATATGAGTTTTTGTTTGCTAGTATATGGACACTGCGAGAACTTGGTTCTGAATTTTGGAGATATAGGGAGAGTCTTCACAGACCTTTTTCTTCAATTTCGTAAATTGCAGCTTCATATCAGACAGTTCCTCTTATGATTTCGAAACTAGGTGGATATCTTGTAAATTTTTTTGGTGGTAGTACAAAATTGCAACATGAAATGCGTAATTAGAGCCCAATGCAGATGTGCTCTTAGCGACAACCGAGAATCACGCCACTTGATATACACTCGGTGGTACGCCGTATGCGCGATTTTCGTGTCAATGTGATCAAATCTACGTTGGCTTCCGTATAATTTGGTGTTTTTGTGTTGTCATTAAGTAGTAACTCCAATAAAGAAGATGATGTTTCTATCACGTTCCAAAATCATTAAAACGCGACTAACCAAAGTTATGTTGGATCATGGGTTTGGGGGAGTTTTGTTCTGTAGCATCAACGAAATCCTTCAAGACTAATGCCCTGTAATACTATCGATAGCAAATAGTTGATACACTCGTCTTGTTGCCTGGAAAAGTTCGAAGGTTCATGAATTATCTTTTTGACGTGTTATGGCGTGCATATATGCTGCGAGAAAAAATTGCACCTCCCGCTCTTCTCTCCTATATAATAGTAAAGTGGCCAAAGAAATGTTTTTCTTTTGATGCAACCTATAACTTGCCTATATCATCTCCATCGTGCAATTTTGATATCTTATGCAAGTCAGCTTTCAGAGGGATCTACTTCTGGCATTTCTGTCTGACCCCATTAAGCGGCATATCCCACTTGGATGCCTACCGCATGCCTTACGCATGCCAATCATGAAAGTAAGCGTATTCCTTAGGTCCTGTTTTCATTTATTTTTTCATCAATTCAGTCGTTACATATAAAGAATCCGGTTTCAAACCAACTTACAACAATATAGATAATTTATGTACTTTGATTATGTTGTAAAATAGTTTTCTTTCTTTGAACAAATGCCTCGACTCAAGTATGGAGTT